GTCAGCTTTTGCGAGTGGGAGTCCCTGCTGTCGAGCCCATCTCTTTATCCAGAGATTCTAGAAGTAACAAGCCAGCATCATTTTTCTTATTTTTTCACAAATTGTCAAATATTTTATGTATAACATATGTATCACTAAATTCCTTGCTCCTCACAAGAAGTTAGTTAAAAGACTCAAATGTGTTATCTTCATAATTGTGTCAAATAGTCTACACCATGGATTTTCAGTGCTCGCCATGCTACCTGAAGACTCTGAGTTGGAGAGCCTGCTCCAGATACCAACAAGCCCATTAAAGAAATACATCCTTTCAATTCTATTTCTCTAAAACCACTCCTGGTACCACAGAATCTGTATTAGGGTTCTCTAAAGAAACAGAACCGGTAGAATGAATATATGTATCAGATTAGCTCACAGGATAGCTTCTGAGTAGTCCAACAATGGCTGCACCATACGGGAGAGGCTGAGAATCCATAGGTGCTCAGTCCACAAGGTTAGATGTCTCAGCAGTCCCAATCTGGTGCTGAAGGTCTGATGTCCAAATGATTGGCTAGTCTTCAGTCTACAGCAGCAAGATGAACTCACCAGTGAGAGAGAAGGCAAGCAGCAAAAAGCAGGCACTCTACTCTGCCATGGCCTATAAAAGGCTGCCATCAGAAGATAACACCCACATTTAGGGTGTGTCTTCCAGCTTCAGATAATACAATCAAGAAGATCTCTCTCATTTCAGTTAATCCCAGATCCAGTCAAGTTGACACCCAGGATTAATCATCACACAGAACTAAACACCCCTGAATTAATTAGAAAAAAAATTCATTTTCTTGGAATCCTGTGATAAGGAGATAGATGTATAGCAAGATGTGTACTTCAATGTGTATTGTGCTTTTCTACATTTTCTCAGAATAGTTATGTTGTATAGGAGAAGAACTTACAAACAGCTGCTCAGACCTGGCCACTTAGCTTGCTGTTGTCACCATTCTGTTCACTAAAAAGTGTCCGGAATTGGGACTTCTCAGGTTTGGGCCTGTGCGGCTATATGGGGAAAGAGCTTTATCGATGGTTCTGACCCAGTCTAAATGAGAGAACCACAACTTAGAACAGTGAACTGCTATCCTGAGGAGGAGAATCCATTAGGTACAGGCAGAAAATCTTATAGATAGCTACAAACTGATATCATACATCAGTGAAATCACCTGTTTGCTTGTGGTCTCTGTCTTAGGCCCACACAGTAGCTGAATTGCAACAAAAAATCTTCATGTGTCTATCCATAATGGAATGACGTAAACCAAGACTGAGCTCTCAGTCTGCTCCCCAGTCCAGAAGTGACCCAGCAAGTCTACATTGGTAACTGAAACCTGTTGTTAGGATGACATTTTGCCATCTTCATAAGAAGTTTCTGGCACAGTCAGTCGAAAAGTTGTGCTGAGGTTGGTTTTGTGTTTGAATATCATGGTACCTCCCATATGATTATCACAGTTAAATCCCTTTTTCGTCTTTGTATTCCTTCAGTGTATATGTATAAATGCCCACTGCTGTACGGTACTCGGTTAAACTGAAAAACCACACAACCATACAGAGAAAATAGTGTATAAAAAAGTCACAGAGCAATCAAATAGTCACAAGAGTTTAGTTTATGTAAAAGACAACTTACTTTTCTTGGAGTGTTTCTGAGCCTTGTTTTGGGCTGGGTGCTATGGATCTCAGTAAAAGTAAGAGTCTAGCTTTTGAGCCAAGGCATTTAGTTTTCTAAGAAAGCAAAGTTGGATGGATGATGACTGTGATGTCATAGGAATTATACAGAATTTATTACCTTTTGAATATAATAAGACAGAAAATGGTAGTTCTCCTTTCTTTCACTTCAGAAGAACACCAGGGATCAACAAGATCTAGAATTTCCAGATAAAGAAACTTCTTTTTTTTTTTTTTAAGTAGGATAAACTGCCTCCTTATAGGAATTTGGAGTAGGAATAACTCTATATCCCTCAGACATGAGTTACATTATTGTAAATCCAGGTATAGATGGACCACATAGCATTGTCATTTATTCAGTGGAGAGTCGAGAGGGTCTGTGCTTAGCACTCAAATATTGGACATGATTCAAATATGCGTCAAGTGTGTCTGGCAGCTTTATTCATACCTATTTTCTTCTAGTCAGCAATGCTTCATAATGCCTTGGTTTCATGAATTAATTTTAATGGAATTAAACTTGAACAGCTCAAAATTATATAATTAATTTCATTCAGCTTCAATTAAAGTTACTAATTGAATCAAGCCTACTAGCATGACACCTGGCGGCAGTCAGTTACATAACAGTGTGAGCATGTAGGAGGACTTGGCTGATGAGCTAGTTCACGGATGCTAGCAAGTTTGTATAAAAATCTCTTTTACTGATACTCTCAGAAAGGCCTGAGTTGATGATAGCAGTAAAGATTTCTGGATTTGTTTAAGAAAGTAAAGATTTTAATTGAAACTAACACATCTCATGAAGATTACATCTCCCCTATGATAAAGTTGAGTAAATGTTACATAGATCTAGAACATATTGGTTAGCATGCTTTTACTTTATATTTTACTGGTTTTGAAAATGGTTTTGCTCTCTAAAATGCTTAGAATTGAAGGCCCTCTTTTTTCTAGAGATCTTAGTCTCTGGGTTTTAATCCTTAATTCACATCCATCTATTTTTCATGTGTTGAAGTGTTTTTCATGGCAGAACTGTTCATTTGTTTTGAAATCTCCATGATTCATGAGAAATTTTTGCACGTGCAGAAACTTTTCCTTCCAGTGGAAATGTTAACATGGATTGACTAACAACTTCTGTTTGAGTCTCTTTTCTTTCTTTGCTTCCTTGACTTGACATCGTGTTGCTCCTCTGACTCCTTGCTAATGGTACAGTATTTTATTTTAATATAGTCACTCTTCTGATGAGTTAATTGCAAATGTTTCAGCAGTGAAGTTTAGAAAGATGACTATTACTAGCTATACTTTTTTCTCTGGCTTGAAAATTCAAATGCTCAGTACTGAACTCATCTAGACCATAAACTACACAAAGGCCTGGGCAATGTTAATGGTACTCATATTGCCTAATACAATGTATATTCCATATGCGTTATATGTACGCAATGAGTAAATTGTTCTCCTAATCTTCAGATTTTTTTCCCCAAGTCAAATCTAGATTATGAGCTTGGTCAACCCAGTCTCCTTACCTGTGTAGACCTCTAATTAGTTTCTCACATTTATTCCCTTTTCTGTCATGTCATTCATTTTAGCTCTCATCAATGTCTATATACATCTTGCTAAGTTTCCATTTCAGTGTCTGTATTAGTTACTTCTCTATTGCTATGATAATATACCCCGGGGGAAAAAATTCAGGTAGAAAAAGGTTATTTCCACAGGGATATAGTCCATGATGGCATGGAGGCAGGACAGCAGGCAGGGAAGACATGGTGGCAGGAAGCTGGCTGGTCACATTGCATCCACACTTAGGAAGCAGAGAGTGAGCAGGAAGTGAAGTGCTGTAAAACCTCAAGGCCTACCCCAAGTTACCCACTTCCTCCAAAGAGGCTCTAACTTCTGAAGTTTCCACAGGTCTTCCAAAAAACTCTACCAGCTGAGGACCAGCTGTTCACACATGTGAGCCAATGGGGGGCATTTAACATTCAAACACAGCAATGTCCCTTTCTTTTCTCTCTCTTAGAAGTGTCAATTCTCCAGTGATTTTTAAGCACATAGGAACAGTGGAATCACCTGTTGCCAACCTTCTTCCCCAAATGAAATAGAATTATTGATGATGGGGCCCAGGAATCTTCTTTTTCCAAAGAGTTTTCTAAGTTTATTAAATTTCAGGTAGGATTGAGAAGCACTGGTGTACAGAGTTCATAACTCTTCTTAATAGGCTGCTTTGCTTAGGTGTTTCGTGAGCTTTAATGGCTACTTTGATTTGTTTGTCTTGTTTTTGAATTAGGTCCAAGTTTATTGTGTTGGCATTCAAATATCCACATTATGTCTTCATCAAAACTTTACATTCCTACGTCCTAATATCTCTCTGAAAGCCACTTCATAGCCTAGAGCTGGGACCTTTGCCTAAGTTTCGGCTTTTGGAGTTTTCCCACGCTGTTCTTCCATCTTTCTCCCATGAATACTTTTTGAAGTCCTTCTAATCTTTAGAAACCATCCAACGTGTTCCCTTCTCTATAGTGCTTTCTTGATCTCTGAAACCTGATGAGACTTTTTTCCCTTTCTTTTGAACCTCTTTAGTGCTCTGGACCTTTCATAGCATACATTTTACCTTGTGTTATAGGTTGTATGTTGTTTGACTTATTCTCCCAACAAGACATTACGTTTCCTTACATGTTAGCTTTCCACCTAAGAACTCATAACACTACGTGTCAACCTCTCATCCTAAATACTTCCCCTGTACTTATTTCCTACATCCTCACTACCCAGTCATCATTCAACTGCAGTTTGACTTTCATCTCCATCAATCATTGGAGTCGCTTCTCCTTTGATGCCTTTTCTGTCTCACCTACCCCCCACCTATATGGACTCATTCATTTTCATCCTTGTTGTAACCTTTTTACATTTCTCTATGATGGAAGATAACTTACTGTGCTAAAATTTATTTACTATATTCTTAATAGATTCTTTATGGTTTTTTTTTAGTGCCGAGATGACAGGTACTCAATAAGTGTTGTTGAGGCAATAGCACATACAGTAGTCAATAATGGTATACTTCTATTTCCTTAAACAAGTCTTTGGAAGCATTAAGAAAAAAATTAAGCCAGATGTAGTGATGCATGTTTAGAATTCTAGCTAGCAATTGGGAGGCAGAGGCAGAAGGATCAGGAGTTTAAGGTCATCAGCTACATAGTGAGTTCCAGTTCTAGGTTCCATGACAAAACAAAACCAACCAACAAAAGGGGGAAAAAAATCAAACAGAATTGTAAACTAAAAAACACACAAAACCTGCAGTAGTCATCATATAATAAATATCTATTCTTTTTCAGAAAAATGTAATAAAGATGATACTGAGAGGGATATCACCCAGGCTACCAGTAGCCACTTCACATGTGGACAGATCCAAGACCAGTCCATTTGGGGAAATCCTTCAGATGGTGAGCTCATCAGAAGTAAGTACTTTTAGATAGAAAATTATAGTGATTTTGGGATATGACTGTGATAAGAGAGCTTCAGTTACTTGTCCCAAGTGGTAGTGCTACAAATGTATCTGAGGGTTTTCATTGGTACTTAAACAGCAGAGGTAAATAGTGCTGTCAGTTTCCATACTTTGATTACGAAGGAAGAATGGAGAGATGAATTAATATTCTTTCCATCTCCTGTTTCCCTATGTTCCCTGAGCCTTAGGTATAGAGGTTTCATTGTAAGTATGTCACATAGGAATGGATCCCTCACAGATACTTTGTTTTTGTATTTGACAAGTTGTGGAACTTTGTAATAGCTTCCAACTATTGCAGAAAAAGTGTCTTTGATGAGTGCTGTGAGGTATGCTTCTCTGTAAATATGAGGGTACATATTTAGAAGTAATGTTGGTCTAGGGATGTGACAAAGGTAGGTTTTTCTCTAGGATCTATGACCTCTCCAGCCATTTGTACTTGGCTATGTTTACAGTAATACACGTGAGTTCCCTCCCATTGACTGGGCCTTAAGTTCAATTAGATAGTTGTTGATTACCCCCAAGATAAAAGAGCCACTACTGCACCAGTAGAGAATATTTGCTGGTCCAGTCATTGTTGTGGTTCATAGACTTTACAACTAGATGTGATCATTGATTGTTTTTATCCCTTGACATTTTGAATAGTATCTTCTGATACTATGGGAGCTGTCTTCAAGGAGGAGGCTTCCAGATCAGTTTCAGCTCCATTGTTCCAAGTCCTGTGTCTGGTTTGACTTGTCTTCAGCAATAGGGTCTTACCTTCAAGTTTTGGGAGGCAATAAAGGGCTGTGACAGTAGCCTGTGTTATTTTGAGAATCCCTTGGGACTACCCTGACCAACAACTGGAAGGGAACAAACCTTCCTTCCTCATGGAACAGATTGTGCTCAACTCAGAAAGTCACAATTGCCCAAACAGCAGAGAGTAAGAGACTGCAGAGTACTTATTCTTGAATATGACACCTATATCAATCCTCTGCCACCCAAAGCTCAGGGAAAATGGTGGAAGAAGGGGTGGAAAGATTGTAAGAGCCAGGGATCATTGATTACCTCAAGGAAACAAGAGTTTTCCAGACAGCTGAGAATTTATTCATCTAAACTTGCAGCAATAATAACAGCATACACAAGACCTATGTATGTACAAACCAGACAAAATCCCAGCATAGAAGTGGAAGGGAGTAAGAAGCCCCAATCTTAGCTGAGGAACTATTGGCAACTGATAACTTCTGGGGAAGGAGAGTTGGTTTTCTTTAATGGTGTGGTGCTAAATAGATTAACCATGCTCCAGTGGATGGGCACATACCAAAGGACATTTGGGAACACAAACCTGACTTGATAGACATTAATATATATGACAGAGTGCATGAAATCCATGGGGGGTGCTATAAGGAGGGTGCATGTAGGGGAGGAGTTCTAAATATGATCAAAATATGAAAATACAATCAAAGCCAAAGGTCAAGTTGTATCATGGTAATACTCTTGCAGTCCTTACTCTTTTGGTCAAGTGATTTCAAATTCGTTTTTATTTTACAATTTGTTTGTTTGTTGTGATGCTCTTCTTCCCACTAAGATTTCTTTGTAGAGCATTTACAAAAGCATTGTATTGGGAATGCCCTGTAATGCCAGCTTCTTTTAGGTAATGTTCAGAATGTGAATTCTGTAAGAGGTTCTGCCTTAGGCCTTCTGGAGCTTTCTGTTCTTGTTCTTTTGCCTGCCCCCCAAGAGGGTTCAAGATGAATTTTCAGTAAAAAGAATATAGCAAATGTGCAGGGTAAAGGGGCCACACCTGGAAGAGCATAGGAGACCTTTTAAATTCTTATTCATGGCCACTGAATCACTGTATTTCGTTTTCAGTGTCTTAGATTGGACAGAGAATATATTTTTCAGAATCAAGTGTTGTTTTATCAAATTTACATTTAATCTACTACTTCACATGATTCATAATACAGACCCTTTCTTGTGTTCTATTCTGAACTTTGAAACTTTTAACATTCTTTTTTTTCTCTAGCATGCTTAACGTCTGGCTCTGAAAATTAGAAAGAGACCAACTTAGTAGAAAATAAACAATAACAGTACAGATGAGGGACATTTCCAGTTATCAAACTAAAGCTCTAAAAAGGAGTTTGCTTTTATTTAATTTTAGATTTTTAGACACTTTTGTCTAGAAATGAGTAGGAAGGAAGGAAATGTAACTCATAAATTATGAGAAACAAGATTTATGTAGCTTTTCCCAAAGAATCAAATAAACATTAGTTCAAGTAAACATTTATCCCTGAATGTGTATTGAATATCTTTTATCTAACATTGACTCTGCCATTTTGAAACTTCAGGTTTGGTAAGATGTTGGTATATTTTGTCTGTGATTTCCTAGCAACTAGAGTTAGTGAGCATGAAGCTACAGTGGAGATGACTTTAACTCCACTTATTGGGCAATATGAGAGGTTTTTTTTTTAATTTTTTACTTCTATTTTTGTAGTAAAATAATTCGTGTTTCATTTATTTGAGTTATTTCTTCAATTTCCTTTCCCAAAGTCCACGTGAAAAACGTGAATACAAACTCAGGACAAAAAATAAAACAAGATACAAACATTGTTGCATAATGATACAAAGAATTAGGTGGAGGTATTGAATTTGTTTGTGGTATTTGGTGAAGCTCATGTTAGTCACAGAATTCATTCTGTGAAATATACTGAATTTAAAGTGAATTGCTCTCCACTTGTCTTTACTGGCTAAGTGGACACTGACAGAAAATATGGCAAGAAAGCGTTTCTTAGTGAGCTAATGATGTAATGTGTCTTGTGGGACACTGGAACATTTGGGAGCAAATGTTTAGTTTCGTACTAAAACTCACAGAAAGAATGCAGAGATATGGAGTTTTATCACCTCCTCTGAGAGGGCTGCTGGGAACAGTGGTGTGTGAATGGGAAAGCAAAGATAATGACTAAAGTCTGTAATCCTGCTGGAAACCTGAGCTGGCAAACATTTCCAAATATTTGTGGGTGACATCTAACTCCAAATTAGGCTAAAAAATTTCAAAACCTTTTATTTCTTCTCTTTTTCCCAGTCACACTTTTCTAGACCAAGGCTAGTTTGTTGGATCTACCAGCAAGAAAAATTGGGTATCTGGATTTGCAGAAGTGGAACATTTTATTTCATTCTAATCTGACTTCATTCAGCTTAGAATGAAAGCTTGCTACTGTATACATCTGTACTTCCATCTCCCTGCTAATAAATTCTATGTAGCTGTCTGCTTTTTCCTCTTGGCCTTCCTCACAAACTCCTCGGCTATTTCTGCCTAATTTAATATCTGCCCCAAACATTAGGTTCTCACCTAATTTTCTTCTTGCTTTACCATCTAGAACATTTCAGAGGCTCAGCAAATCTTTTGCAATAATTTTAAGCCTTGGAAAGTGATACTGTGGCTCAGAACTCCACGGGACTGGAGGGGAACATCTGTGGTGAGTCAGGCCTGGCTGGGTCCTGTTCCAGGAGCCCTGTGTGGCTCCCTGAGCACCATGGAGGAATGGGACAGCTGGCTCGCACGGAATTGAAGTGAGTGTTCCCACTGTAGTCCTAGGTTGGCTGGATGAAGGGATCATCAGCAAAATGAGGCTGGCTGGGGTGTGGGAACATTTTCAAAATGCACAACCCACTCTTTTTTTTTCCAATCTTCCATGGGGCAGTTCAGCTGCAGAAGTCAAAAGTGCAGGAGAGTAGCTGTTGAATCTGTCAGCTTTTTCTTTATCTGTTCTTGAGAGTGGTTACTGAGAACTGGTGGCTCATGTGTTGTCTGTTGTCCTAGACGCCAGCTGCCTTCTTTGTTGGATGTTTAAAGGATAATTTATTGGGGACTGTTAGCTGGTGGCATGACAAAATTGTTTGAATTTTCTTTGTTGAGAATAAAACTTAGCTCTGGAAAGTTAAGGGAGTGGTTGCTTTGGAAATTGCATTCTAATTAGAGGGTGTATTCTCAGGCTTCATAAATGAGATCCAAGCTGGGAATAATTTCTAAATTATTCCATGAACTTTAACCCTGACCTCCGTGGACCACCCGCTTGTGGCTCACACGTGGTTCATGTTGCACATGGAAGTTTGAGCTTTTCTGTATTCCTTGGTACTTCTAAAAGATACATGGCAGGTGGCAGGCATAGGGTACTATGATTTGAAGGAATGCATTTCAAATTGGTTGCCCCTGAGTTGCTAACTTATTAGAGAAAATCCTTTCTGGAAGTAATAAATAAAAGAGGAGAAATCCATATGGAATGGAGCGTTTGGAATAAATAGGCCACACAGAGTCTAGTGAGAGAATGTACCTTGTGAATCCCTTTCTTATGAAATTTAAATAGAAAACAGAGAGACAGCTCTAGCCACTTAAGTTTGTTAAAAAATCAAATCAAATTAGCAAATAATTAAAAACACAATTGAGGTTTTGTGAGGAAATTTTATAATTGGAAAGTTTCTTTTCTATTTTTATGATTCAAACCCATTTTTATAGTTTTAAAAGCTTTCATATTCTGAGAAAAATATTTTAGTGTATAAATTAATTTTTGGGAAAGACTTTAAATTTTGGGAATTTATGAATTTTTTTTGTGTGAGAACATGTGCTCAGAATTTGGCTTTTCTCCCTAGAAGAACATATATATGGGATGGTGTGTAATTCAAAATAATGCCTCTATAGCACTTTTCTCCAATACCATTGCTCTGACTTCATAAAACAAATGTTACAGTTAAGTGACTCACACACTTAATATTAATTTCCCTATTTAATGTGTAATATCCATAAACAAATAACAGGCAATAAGCAGCATTGTGTGTTTTACCTGGAGTAGAAACAGAGCAGAAATAACATTTCAGTCTCAGTTTCAGGGGATTTCTAAGGTTGGAAGGAGGGTGCATGTGGATGTGTGTGTATGTGCAGATGCCTATGTGTGCATGTGTGTACATGTATGTACATGTACG